ACTTGAACCTATGATTCTTTAGAAAACATACAAATTGACAGTCCTCCTAAACTTGTAGATTTAGCTAGCTTCACCTGCAGCTAACTTTTAGCCTTCATAGTAAAGCTAGAAGTTTTTTATCAAAGAGTTTCCTTTACCAACAGCCCTGAGAAGCTATGCAAAAAGTTTCCTATGTCATCCCTCTCTAACCATGTCTCCAACTCCATATGGCCCTGAGTTGCCTAAGCTGCATCCATCAATAACCTACCCACTTCTCTGTTCTCAACTATCTAAATCATCAAACCCTTTGATGATTTTCCTTTAAAAGGAATAGCTTCAAAAGGGAAGGAGGACAGTAAATAAATAGACTGCATCATATCAGAAGCAACTAAATCTTGGAAACCAGGATCACCCTAAGATCCATTTAAGTTCATTGATATAGTTGCCTAGTAAGACTGCAATCGGTCTTAGTTTAGATCTGAGTTAAACAAGAAATAATGCGGAGAATAAAAGAAGAAGAGGAGAAGAGGAGAAGAAGAAGAGAGAGCACGAAGAGGAGAAAAGATTCAGAGAAGAGTGTGGGTCATAACTGAGATTGTCGCCCCACTCAACTATTTATATTAATGATTTAAAACAGCGTAAAAAACCAGTATTACCCCTACTGCTTACATAAGCTAAAATTAACAGAAAATAACTACCACCTAATCCAACTAACATACTAACAGCAATATAAATAGACATGCAGCAGTGGAGATCACATTATTGTTCTACATCTCTACACTCCCCCTCAAATTAGGAGTAGATATTAGTCATTTCCAACTTGCATTATAAATAGACATGCAACAGTGGAGATCACATTATTGTTCTACATCTCTACACTCCCCCTCAAATTGGGAGTAGATATTAGTCATTTCCAACTTGCATAAGTCGGTCTCCAATTTGGTCTTTGTAACTGCATTAGTGAAGAGATCTGCAAGCTGCATATTGGAAGCGATGTATGGATTATGGGCAATGTTAATAGCTGCCTGATTATCACAATACAGCACCAAGGGCTTCTCATAAGCAATACCCAACTCATCAAATAGGAATCTCAACCATAATACTTCAGCCACACCATTTGCCATAGATCTATTTTCAGCTTCAACACTTGAGTGAGCAACAACATTTTGTTTCTTACTTCTCCAAGATACAAAATTTCCTCCTACAAAAGCAGAATACCCATAGGTAGATCTCCTATCATCAACATACCCAGCCCAATCAACATCTGTGTAAACTTCTATTTTCATGTAACCATTATCCTTGAAGAGTATACCTCTGCCTGGACACCCCTTCAAATAAGCTTATTTCCTCTCAACTGCAAATAGGTGAGTAGTTCTGGGGGAATCCATATTCTGGCTAACAACACTGATTGCATAAGAAATGTCCGGTCGTGTGAGGCAAAGATAGAGTAGTTGCCCAACCAACTGTTGAAACATAACTTGATCTAGCAAAGGCAAGGGATATATAGGACAGCACCAATGCAACTTTGGATTAGCTACATTTTGATGAGTGTGTTAGGGGTTGTTTAATCTTAATGCTCCATGTCAGCCGTGCACTCAGAGTTAGAGATTGGAGTGATTGTGGGGCATCTACACTTGATGGCTGATGACTGATGTGGGGCATTATTATTGGTTAAACATCCCCCCAGATAAAGATAGAGTAGTAAACAATGAGGACAGGCCAATCATGTGGTCAAATGCACCTGAATCTATAACACAACAAGGTTCTTTGTTACTTGGGGTTGTGGCATGATATGCTGAAGCCCTTGTACCTGAATGAGCAGATGCTGAAGTGGGAGTAACAAATGTTGTAACTAGTGGTTGAGATGAGAATGCTTAAGTGCCAACTTCACTTTCCAACTGAGTCAGAGCAACTCGGACAACAGCCAAAGTGTTTAGGGATGTGGCTCTTGTGCTGGATGAGGGTGCACCATCAATAGTGATAGCCACATTGGCATTCCCCTTTTTGTTTATGAGCTTTGCTAGAATTAGATGTGGATATAACTTCCAACAGGTGCCTTTGGTATACTTCGATTTCTTGCAATGTTCGCATATTAACTCCCTCTTATCCTCCATATCCCTCTCCTTGTCACCCCCAAACTTTGGTTTCACTGCTGCTAAGGCTGATTCCATAGGATATTGCAACATAACTTTTCTCCTACTTTGCTCACTATGCACTAAGAATAGGCTTGATTGCAACACTTTCCCCTTGATTTTTAAACTCCATTCCTGCCATCTCTTTCAAGAAATTTATCAAAAGGAAACCCCTTTAATGCTGAAACATATGTAATTACACCCAGAAATTGCTAACAGCCGACCTAGAAGGTTGAAATAGGTCTAGCAATCACCCAGAAATATTGGAACAAGCCTAATAAACTTCTAGATACTAATATCACTCAATCTGAAGTACTGAGACAGGTCTAACTGTTACCCAGAAACTAACAACAGTCATAAATTTAGGGTTTAAATCTGAGAACCAGTCGTAGGTCAAGAAAAAACCGTAAAAAATTCAGAGAAAATAGAAAACTTCACCACTCATTCCAGATTACTCAAATCAAATTCTGATTGAAGTCTATCTCAAAAACAAATTGAAATTTACCCAGAAAAGTCTAGCTGCCACCTCCAATCCACAGTCTGAACCCTAATCTTGAATTTTCTTTCTTTCCTCTAAATCTTCCTGATCACTGGACACCTTCCAAGGCTCTACAATCCCTTGGGCATCTGCTGCACTCCACCAGCAATCTCCAAGAACCAGCCAATTGACTTATTTTTGCTAAAACTTCCCAACCTAGGAAGTTCTCACGCAATTGGCCTGATTAGACTCACATGAGAAACCCTAGGTTGGCTCTGATACCAAGTTGTCTAGTAAGACTACAATCAGTCTTAGTTTAGATCTGAATTAAACAAGAAATAATGCAGAGAATAAAAGAAAAAGAAGAGAAGAAGAGGAGAAGAAGAAGAGAGAACACGAAGAGGAGAAAAGATTCAGAGAAGAGTGTGGGTCATAACTAAGATTGCTGCCCACTCAACTATTTATATTAATGATTTAAAACAAGGTAAAAAACTAGTATTAACCCTACTGCTTACATAAGCTAAAAATAATAGAAAATAACTACCAACTAATCCAGCTAACATACTAACAGCAATATAAATAGGCATGCAACAATTCTAAATCTCTACAGACATGATTAGGTGGCTCAACTCGATTTGAGTAGTAAAGCAAAATATAGCCATCAATAACCGATAGCAGTGAAGGAAAACACACATATTTAGAATAAATTTTTTTTTTCAAAACTTGCTCTCACTTGCATCATTTCTGGGAAACTGAGGAAGGTTCAAAATGTTCCCATATTTTTTTTATAATTTTTATTAATTTAATTAACAGATTACAAGTACTTTCCAGAGTATAACAATATTGAAAGGTCCCAGAATACAAGGATAATCAACCCTCTTTTTTAACAGAGCCAGCTACAGTTTTGCCCAAAATAGAGAAGGCCTATCAACTACTTTTTTGGCTAGAGCGTCTGCCAATCCATTTGCTGTCCTTTTAGTCCACCCAAATGTAGAGTTAAAGCTCTTAGCCAGTAAGTCAATCTCCCTGAATGCGAATCTATACTTTCATGGTGCTGAGTTTACTTGCTTAGCCCAAGAGATGACCAATAATGAGTCCCCTTCCACTTCCTACATCTCAATGTTTATTGGAATCATCAAACATTCATCTAGAAAAAATGCATAAAATAGATATCCTGAACAACCTTTTGATTATTTGTTTTTATCATGAAATCAAGCCTCAAAGATCCTACGTTTACCAGTAAGTCTGACAAATGCACAATAAAACCTAAGCTTCCTTGTAGAAGTAGTGATGCCCTTCCCATTGAGAGTAATACCATACCTAGCAACTTGTCCTTATTCTGCACAGACTAATGTTTTAATGGATAAAAATTCATTCTGAGACCTGAGCAATACAGGTCACCAAATGTTATACAAGAAATATCATGTGTGGAAAAATATAAAAACAGCAATTGAGATTTCAAAGAACTTGAGTTGGCAACAGGTCTGGAAGTTCTTAATAGAAATTCAACAAGTACCATATTCTCAGCCAAAGGAATGAAGTGGATGTTCCACAAACCACAGTAATTATGGAGACATATGGCTTCCCTTAGGAAATCTGTGATGACTTTTATGAGTTTAGATACTTAATTTAAAGTCAACTACTATGGATTTTGCCAGCTCATTCTTTATGAATTTTTTGAGAAATAGATTTATTTATTTATTTATGAAATAATTGGTCCTTTGGTCAAGAGGGGAAATGTGTGGTTCTTCTGTTACTGTTACTCAATGGAGTTGTGCAACTATTGTAATTTATTTATGAATTTAAAACCTTGTTGTCAAGGTAGATAGAAGAAAAAGTGATCTTTTCTCCAAAAAGGAACAACAGATCAAGTTATATAATCAGTCAAGTTCTTTAATCAATGAAGTCAAATCATAGGAACCAAGAAATTCTGCCTGGTTTGTTGCACTACAACATTTCTCCTCTCATTTTTGATTAAAAAGTAGTCTTAAATAACTAGTTGCAATTCCATTGGCCACAACCATTTTTGTCTCTACAATTACCATTATCTCTGTTCTCTACAACCAAACCATTTTCCACCATGATCCATATTGCCATTATTGAAGGTACAAGTTGAAATTAACTCCATACATAAGAAAAGCTCATCTTAACTCTATAGACAGGGAACTTTGGTCATTGGAAAAAAGAGATGGTTGTTCTTGCATTGGGGTTAAAAAGAGGCATTCTCAGGTCTTTCAAGCTTGCATCAAGCAGGCTGTCCACAATTTATAAACAAGTTAATTGTGGGTAATTTTCTCTATATGAAACTATACTCAAAACTCAACAGTTCTCATGAGATAGAATGTCCAGCAGTAGCATCAAATTGTCAACAAAAATAAACAATAAGAAGAAAAATCAAAACTAGAACTTACTGAAACTTCTTGGAATTCATCTAAGTTGGTTGCAACTGTTTCCCACTGGCAAGATATGATCGGAGAGGATGGCATCCCCCTTCCCTTTGGCTTTTTTACCTCAATTTTTCTAATCTCCCGATAGAGCCGATGACCAACAATAGGATCATCTTCATACCTACGCAAATGAGAAATGCACATCATATAAACATCACAATCCATCAAACAAAATATGAAATCTTTGCACCAAATTTTGTTTATTATGCTTGATATCAGAATGTTAAAAAGGTTAAATTTCACATTTATTTAATTTACCAATATGAAACCCCATGTGAATCACCACCAATTCGTTCTTTACGAAATCCTGAAAGCTGAACACCATGCTTTATAGAGTTATCAATATAATTCCGGATATCTTCTTGCTGCAAAATGAGGAGCAAGGGTCAACCATTTCAATCTTTACATGCCCGCATACACATATGCACACAATGATAAATATAACTAGAAGAACCGACTAAGGGTTTGAGAAGAAATTGTAATATCAGTCAATAATTTTCAGACAAAAAGCGGGGCCAAAAGTAGACATTTGGGAAGAGGATAAACCATAAGGATTAATTCCGGATGTAATAATACCTCTACACGGATGTCACAAAGTGCTTTCAAAATCACTACACGAGTCCCAGGATCTAATGTCTTGTATACTTCAACCTCCATCCTTAACAAAATTAACATTATATGCATGTTAATGTGGAGGTAAAAGTATTAGCATATTTGTATACTTTGTGTATAATATATTACTCACCCATGCGATGCTACAATTGGTAGCTCACCCTCAGCAACCTGTGATAAAGTACAAGGCAATGTAAGCTCAAACATTCAAAGAAAATTGCATCCTGCATGTTGCAGCATGGCCAAATGACAGGAGAGTGGGAAAAAAGAAGAGTACTAGAATTGCATACCCAATGCCACCAGTCCCTCAATTTTCTGCATAACACTGTAACCCAAGTAGCACGCCCTAGTGCCATGCGTGTAACAGGAGGAATAGCCTACAAGTGCATCAAAACATGATAGATGTGTAAAACAAGTACTAGTACTGCTTCTTCCACACTATAAAGCATACAAAAGTTTCCTCAAATTATACTTATACATGCCAAGTAGCTTCATTACAACAAGGTCATATTGCAATAGAGAATCATAAGGTGGATAGAGAGAGAGAAAGAGACCACTGATTAGAAGTAAACATTTTATGTATTAAAATGAACTACAACCATATGCAGGAACAGAAATGCAAGCATAGTAAAGCACATATAAGTGAACTCTTGTGTCAACAAACGAACCACAATAGACTAATAAACAAAACAAAACATTCAAAGATAAGTTAAATATTTGAAAGTGCATGCAACACAGCAATGCAGTATTAAGGTTTAACAGATGTATTTCCTTTCTGATTGATTATTGACTACTTATCCTTTGGATTGGTTCTTTCCATGCAAACCCAGCAAAAAAAAGGTAATTTGCACACAGGAGCAATGTCTTAAAACATGGAGGTATGATTTGAGCCATTCCATTACCTGGAGGCATGAGGCATAGTTCAGAATGCATGAGTTATCAACCTGAATGCAAAAAGGTCTAAGCCTCCTCAAGAGTAGTAAGCTGCGAAAGGAAGTCTAAGCTTCTTTTTCTTAGCATGAACCACAAGGCATTTTGAATGTATCTCACCTCGAGGCACCTTATACAAATTCTAAAACAAGCACAGAAGTAAAATACTAAAGATAGACACCTGCCAACTGGCCAATAGAAGCATGTCCAAAAACTGCAAAGACACAACTACTAAACCTCTACAATAATACAAATTACAACTTCCTGTTGAATATCAAAAATGCACATATGAGCATCCTGGCAACAAAGAGATAAGCACTACCAGAAAGTGCAGCAGTGCAATATTGAATCTGAGAAAGTCTCCTTAAAGGATAAAGGTGATGCCTGCCTTGTCCAAAACCACTTGACAAAGAAAGAATGACATCCTGATGGGAATGATGAAACAAATATTGATCATGTGGGAATGCAAAAATATCCAGGGCCTCTCAGCATCATGAAGCTAAATTATCTTTTCAGGTTTGCCCAACACCATTAGAGATCCATCATCTTATATTTAACCTAAATGACTCATTCCAATTTGTGAATGGAAAAAGCTATAAGAAGGAGAACAGCCTACCTAGTTAAAAATGAACATGTGTGTGGTGATGTCTATTACTTTTTAATTATTAAAAGGATTTTCACATGCTCTCCAACTACTAGGGTCTTTGATGCTTCCTTTCTTTAATAAAGCCCCATCCTTAGCTATACAACCAAATTGGTCCTAATAACTGCCTCACAATGTTTTAAAACATGGAGGCGTGACACAAGGCATTCCACTAGGACCACTACCTAGAGGTACGAGGAGTAGTTCAGAACATAAGAGGCATAAGCCTCCCGATCACAAGGAGGTCTAAGCCTCCTTAAGAGGAGAATGAGAAGGAATAAGGAGGGGGAGGAAGAACAAAGAAGCAACCTCCTTCCCTTCACTTTTTTTTTATATATACCTTCCCTTCCCTTTTTTTTTATATATACCTTCCCTTCCCTTTTCTTTTCTTTCTTTTTCTCTTTTTTTCTTATCTTTCTTTCTTTCTTTCCCTTCCCTTTCTTTTCCTTTCCTTTGTTTTCTTTTCTTTTTTTTCTTTATTTATTATTTCTTTTGTCTTTTTGTACAAGTTTTGCATGAGGCATAACGCATAGGCATAGCTTTCCAATTTCTTCTCTACTTTTTATCTTTATAATTGTTTTTTATCCAAACCTTATATACATGACTACATGTATGTACTACAAACACATATGGGGAAAGAGAAGAAAAAGGGTCCCTTAATCAGGTCAAGTATGGAGTTTCTCCCACATGACCCAACTTATTTATACCATATGGACAAAATCAGGTGGGTAACCCGGACCATCTATCATATAGGAGATATGCTCAATCAGATGCATCCAATCCCACGGTCCACATCAGTCAAGTACCCAACCTCGTATTTGAGTTCTGCCTAGTCAATAATAGCCATCCAAAGTTTTAACTCGTTAATATAAAAGTTGTTCAATAAAGAGGTTTTATTTGAGCACTTAATCAAATGATTGGCTAAAATTTTATCCATTGATAAAGAGTAAGGAGAAGTTCACTAAGTTTCCATATGGAAGATTCCAGTGTCATTTAGGGAAGCCACTTAACATAAAATCATTATAGCACTGACATTGTAACTTATAACTTGGTGCCAGATGATTATTGTTACAGTCTGGCTTCAACCATCAAACTGCGAAATTATTAATCCTATAACCCATTTTTCTTTCTAAAGCCAAAAACTCCAGAAATTTCATCAAATTCAGATTATGTGTCCATTTCTATCGATGTCTCCAAACAAGCATTTAGAAGTCAGTAATTTCATAAAAGAGCCAGAAAATTTATATAGCATTGCAACAACCCATCAAGCGCTTACCAAGGATCTAGGCAAAAGTACACTAGCAAATTTTTCAGATGATCATCATGCAAAAGCATCAAACATGGGAGTATTTTCCCATAATGTCATGTTTCGTATTCCTAAAGTCAATGACCAGAGGCAGGAGATGGACTCAACTTGATAAGTTAATACACCCTAGTTAAAAAGAAAAACATATAATAACATAAAAGCTCCCATTAAAAGCCTCTTTGAATGTCATTCAAATCCAAAAACAAGACATCACCAGAATTCCCAAATATTTAAATGAATCACATTGCAAATGTAACCTGATGCATATGTTGACTTGTCAAAACATGTTGGATGACAAGTAAAAGAGAAAATGCATATTGAGAAATATGCACATCCATTACCAAATACACAAATACAATTATCGCCTGAAGGGCAATTACCACGTATAATTTTACTGACAAATATGAACCATGCAGCCTATACCTAACCCCATTAGTGGCCACATGCTTATAGTAGCCAACAAGTTTAGTAAAGGTGGCCTTCTCACTGAACAAGTTGGAAGCAGCTATTAGGATGACATTTTTGCTTCTACCAACAAATTTGGGCATCCAAACTTTTCAGTCTAAAGGAGTGATGTTTGTTTGCAGGTGGAAGGTTTCAAAGATATTCAGTGTTAATTTTTAGTAGTTTCATAGGTATTCAGTATGCAATTACACATTACAGCTTGTATGTAAACTTTTGCATCTTCCACTTTTTTGGGATTAGTAACTAAATAATTATTAATATGAGGAAAATGTACATTCATGTAAGAGGAAACAATACATGCAAGTCAAGAACCCTGTTCCCTTGAGAGCTCAACATCATATAATGCTTTCATTAACTTATAGGTGCTTTGCTTCTCCAATCATGTATCTCAACTCCCATGGACCAGCCATTTTCCCTTGTGAAGCTTCCACATCTATTGCAACTAAATGTATTTATTTAGACAGCTCTTGTTTCACATCAAAAGTTGGAACAGAATAAGGTGTGAATATAGTACACTATGAATTGTGATATAATGATCATTTAGTGATGTTCAAAGTTCCAAGTTATCATGTAAGAAAGAATATATTTATCCATATGACTTTGTGTTTCAGGTAACTGCCTTCTAAACAGATGATATTATTATGATTTGTGAAGAAATGACTTACATAAATTTTGGTTTATTTAATTATTTCTTTATTTTCTTATCAGAAGGTTTATTTAACATTGCCGCATAAACCCTATCATGAAAAGCTCATGGATTGTGGGGTTCTTTTTAAAATTGACATAAATGTGGTATTTGCACATTACTGTTAGGTTCTAATCTTTTAACTGATGTGTGCATTCTTATTGAGCCAGTGACTCATGAACATTTTCAATCTTCTTACATTCAAAATTAAGCATCCTGGTAACACATCAAGAAACAATAGATAGTAAAGTTACAGTTTGAACTGATGATAGATAGACACAATTGTGGATACATGAGAGAAAAAAATCAAAACTTTAAGGAAGTCAACTGTTAGAATTTTCATAAATGTCTTCCTGACACCCTAGATGGATGGAAAAGTTGTGATGACAATAATAGTGTTAAATTCAAGAACTAGCACTGGAAAGGACATTGAACTAAGAACGCTTGAGAACCTGTATCAACAAGAGCTAGATAAAGACCAAATGAATAATCACAACATACGAAAAAGAAGTAAAAAATAACCCTATGACACGTGAACTTAACTCTCATAACATAACGCATGGACTATTTCTCTAAGAGAGAGTTCAGGCGTAAGAAGATAATCATTCTTCTTATACCAAAAACAAAAACTTTGCATTTTTTACTACCGAAGTACCAACCTTTAACAAAGGTATGTGTATATCATCCAAAGTACTATTCGGGGTGATTAAAGCAGTTTCAAGCTCCTCCGCCGAGAACTCTACCGAAATATTCAAAAGCGGCCTAAAAACCTACGAGGAGAAAAAGTAACAACCTTGAGCCCTAGAACGGCAAAACTAGAATAAAAAAAAATAAAAACAAAGAAGATAGAAACTTTCACCACTCACATGTAAGAAGTTAAGAAGGGAGGCTAACTCCCACATGGACCGGAGATTCCAGCGCGGCAATTGCGAAGGCGGAGGCTCGTTAAGGAGCGGTGTAATGATCTTGCTGCATTGCTGTTGCTGCTGAAGTTGCTCTTCTTTCTCTTTCTTGGACGGACCAGGCTTGCGCTCGACCGCGGGGGCAGAGGAGTAAAGCCTAGCAGAGGAACGAGCGGTACATGCGCGTGGCGGACGCTCTTTCCGGCCTGTGTGGTTGTTGTTGTTGTTGGTAGTGGTGGTGGTGGTTATGGTGCCGTTATTGTTGTTTTTGCTGTTATTGTTCCGCGGCTGCTCTTCGGGCGAAGATCCCTCATTGGGGATCGCCGCCGAGGCGTCTTCGGACGTCATCGAGGGAGATCGAATGACGGAGGGGCTTGGAATTACTTACGAAGGAATTAACTGAAAGATCGAGGGTTTGCATTCGAGACCAAAACAGAGGGAAGAAATCGAGTTAAGGAAGAAGAAGAAAAGAGAGTCGTTAGGGTGAAGACAGATGCGGAGACCCAAAAAGGCTGGATTTTGAGGCGAGATGGACATGGCGAACCAGTGCCCCAGCCCATCATCATACATGTATGAATAAAAATAAAAGGAAAACAGATTTTAAATAAATTTTCAGTTTATTTTTTCAGAGAAAAAGAGGAGGAAAAGAAATACAGAAAGAGGGAGATAGAAGTGGGGTGGGGTTGGGGCTGGGAGAGGGAAAGGAAAGAGATGGAGAAAAGAAAGGGGGAAGAACTATGAGGAGAAGGGACAATGCCCGGAATTTGGTCAGGGGTCCGGTTATTTATTCAACTTGGGTTAGTGTTTGTGGTTAATTCTATTTTGCTTTTTCCCTTTTCCTTCAATTTTATTATATTATGACTTCCATGGTTTAAACATGCGTCTACAGTCTATGAAGAATCAGGTGCATTGATTTAGTGGGTCCGTGGTAGAAGAATTTCCGAGGTCACGAGAGACATTGGATTCTGTGGATAGATAGAAATAGGTTCCAGGTATAGATTTTGCAGATGCAAGTCTACAAATCAGATGGACGGGAATTAGGTTGTTCTACAACTTACGCTACTCCTTTTGCTGGGGCTGGGGATGTTTGTTGAATGGGCCCCAGCCCCCAGACCCCAGTGAATCAGTGATTATTGAAGACCAAAGTCTTGACACTGAAGACATCTCCCGAGTCCCGAGTCCCCCCACTCCCCCCTTTCTCTGAGAGTTTGATCTTCGGATCCCTCATCTCTGTCGTGCACGCGCTGTGAGAAAGAGAGAGAGAGAGAGTAGATGATGACTGATAGGCTACTGGGTAGACGCCAGGCGGTAGACTGAGCACTCGCTTGCCAGTCAGTTACCTCCCAAGTTTTTTTTATCTTCTATATCGTGTAGGTCTCAGCTGCCTAATACAGGAAAAGGTACAGAGAAATGGCGATTCATGGATGTAAATTGAATCTGTGCGACACTGTTCGGAAGGTTCCACCGGAACCCCCTTCCCGTAGATGCCGGCCGTCGATTGCGTGTGCATGATTATATCTGCAGTCGAGACGAAACCGAAACCCTAGGTCAAGAAATCTTGTATTTGATTCATTGTTAAAGAAGGGAAGGGGAGCCCCCTGCGAAGCACGTGGTTGAAACTAGAAATAGCTAGAACTTAGAAGAGCAGGAGTTAATGAATGATGGACTGGGAGTATTTGTCTATTTGAAGTTTGAACCAAACAGCGCTATAACTAAAGTGGGCCGGGCCTCTTTCGATTTTGGGCCGTTTTAAACCTAACTGGGCCCTAAGTAGGAACAAATTAAACCAACTAGACCTAGACTTATCACTGCATGAGCCCACCATTGTGGGCTGTCTTTTTCTCTTTTTTTAGCTTAAGGCGAGTCCCCGTATTCGTGAAAATTGCCCTTTCCATTCTCAAACTTATCTAAGCATCATTGATCTCAAATTTATATAGTTTCTCCTACCAATGTTCTAAATTCATAATCACATAACTAAAATGTGATGTCCCTCTTAAGCAAAAATGGTATGATAGGCTATCCGTGAAGATGTCTACAATGAGACACATAAGGGGGAAAGATTTAAATTTCTCTTAATCCTTTTTTTATAAAATATATTCATTAAAGTTTGACTGTTATATTAGAGGAACTTATAACCAATCAACCGATATCATAAAAGTGGTAACAAATTATATGTTTTTTATTAAAATTCATTAGAGCTTTTGATTGGTCAAACTCTTTATATTATGTCTTCCCGGCACCATAGATCTTCTCATACTTAATAATATATACATGGGTTTATAACCAAGTAATGGAAGTTGATACATATATGGTCAGGTACCAAAAAATGCCACAAATTTCCATCCCTAAATATATTCAACATAGAATCTCATCATCTTTCAAAAAAAAAAAAACACACAGAGAATATCATCTAACAACTCAAAAACCTACTCAATGACTAATTGCCGAGTATACAAAGCAATAAGTTATTGGGTGTCGTTTGGATAGAAGTCGGCTTGGGCTTGGTTTGGTCCGCCTCATGATGGTACTCCCATTGCTTTCAAAATAATAATAGTAATAATAAATAATAAGTTCACCCTTTTTCGATTCAATACTAGTTATTGTTTCGTATTCATCGGTCATCACAGGAGAGCTATAGGCACCACTCTTGTTTGATATGCACTATCCAAGCATTAATCTTAAAGCATTCACCCTGAGTACCAAGTATTTTTGTTTGTTCTACTAATTTAAGGGAGTGTGTCATGCACATGTTCAAGCAAAAATATAATAGATTTTATATATAATACTTTATTTAATTTTTTAGGATAAATTATTAAAACCTCTCTTAAAGTTATGATTATTGCCGAAATCTTTACAAAATTTGATAATTGCAATCACCTCCCATAAGGTTATGTTTGTTTGCGGTATAAATTTAGATTTACACCGATGGATTCATGAGAATGTAAAATGTGAACCAGGTGTTGGTCCCATTTAACACTCTTCGCATTTAGTAAATCATCGAGGTAAAAGTCTAACATTTTCTTCTAACCAAGAGATTGCAGTCCTTGTTGCTCCACCGAGAGAAAACGAAGCACCGTCTGTTTCAATTTCTAGCAATAGCAACCATCTTAACTATTGTATTTGGAGAATTAGAGCAGTAGAGCATCTAGTTCCCATTCTCACCCTCCAAAATTGGAAGCTCTTTATTCTCCTCCGCCTCCCCATCGCCAGAAGATTATCAATGAGTATGGAGCATTTTTAGAGTTAATGCCCTCGTACTCCTCCCAATAATTGTCTCAACCATTCTTTGTTGGAGAAGCCATCTCAAGCTAGTGCTTGCGCAACAACGTAGTTGTCTCCAGCCATCTCAACGATGACGATTCTATGCCAATAAAGAGCTTGGATGACCAGGGTTTTGATGGCATCGGTGGTGTTTGGCAGTAAGCAACACGGGACGTTAAGGAGCAGCTATGACGGGGTGGAACTGGAACAGGAATGATTTGGGTGGGACTAGGGAATACGAATACAGAAGATTTGGGTTGGTACCATTATCAGGATTTAATGATGCTATACAACAACGTTGTTAGGTTATGGGATAGTGATAGACGGAGAAGCCATGTGACCAAATATCGTCAGAAAAGGATTTCTCCTTTCTTCATCCTCCGCCCTTAAAGCCTGACCAAAAACTCATCTTCTGCCATAATGGAACTTGACGGTTGGAGTGGTGGGAGGGAGATGAAAAGAAAAATTTTTAGTCCAAATAAAATATTAATAATAGAATAATTATCTTAGTACTTAAAATTTATAATTTTGTGTGTGATATATATTACAATCTTTATATGTTTTTATAATTATTAGTTAATATTTTAATCCATATTAAACAACATTATATCTATCACTTACAAAAAAATAAAAAATAAAAACTGTTTACAAAATATTCAAGAATATAATATTAAATTGAATCTATGAAATCCACTAATTTATATTTATATGAAAAAATGATTTTTAGTTTCAATTAATGTATAGAAGTTCAAATTTTAATAATGAAATAATTATGTTAGTAATTAAAAATTATGAATTTGCTTATGATATATATCTTATAAAAGTTAACAGATTTGATATATTTGGAGTAAATATTACCTATGTCAAATAAAACCGGGTATTGAGTATTAGATACCCTGAAGTCAAAATCCAAAAACATCCCAAACCCTATAGGGTTTTTATCTAAAATCCCAAACTCTATAGGATTTTGATAAACATATCCTATTAGGGTCAGGATGGATCAGATACCCAAAAATTCCCACGAAATTGTAGATGATATTTAAATTAGGAAGCTAAAATTGGATTTTATTTGTCTTCAAAGAATATAATATAACTTTCTAACTTAGATTAGGAAACAACATGATTTTAAACTGGAATCCGCACCACTCTACTTGTGTGTGTGTGTGTGTTTTTTTTTTTTTGTATTTTAAACTAAAAAGTGAGGAAAAGGTTTTAGTGCTTTAGGAGTGCTATACTAGTATACTCATGTTACAATAAAAAACCTTAACATTTAAAATCAAAATTATTATTACATACATAATTATATAACTAGCATTTGTATATACAAACATGAATAACTGTGTCAAGTTGAGTAAGGTGGGTTTGTATGAGGCATTGGCCCAATCCAGTCCAACCAAAAGTAACGTGCGTTGAACAGAAATAAAGCCTTCCGCTTAAAATTGACTAGGCAAGCCAACTTGGGATTCTCATGGGATGGGACTGGAGTCATTAGCATGGCCCATATATTGGAAGAGGAAGAAGTAGTACAAAATTCACGGGTTTGGGCTATTCTTTTACAATTCAGTCCTCAAGAGCTTCATACTTTGTCCTTCCCCATGTCACTATGTCAGGACTTAGTGAGAGTTCAGCTCTAAGATTTGGCCATGCTCATGTTTTGTACTTGTACAGTTTGTTGGGGAGAACTGATCAGTCCAGATCAGAATTTTGTAGCCCCACCATACAGGGGGATGTATATGACCGTGAATTGATGCCAAATTCATGGGCAGGATGAGGTTTATAGGGGGGCTACTAGCAGACTATAGGGGGTTGTCATTTAGAATTCTGCATTGGGTTGCAGAGTACTTAACCCCATTTTATATTTGGGTTTCATAGTCCAATTTATGAATAAAATAAAATAAAATAAAATATCAGTGTCATTAGTTAATTGGTATATGAGTCTTAAGGCCTTCTTTGGGAGTGCTTAAAAATAAGTGTTTATTTGGGTTGGGACCACACTATTAAGCCTATTAAGCACTTATTGGTCTTTGGGAAATAAGTCCGAAATAAGTGCTTATTTTAAAAATAAGGGCTTATTTTTTAAAACCAAATTTCCATATTTTTTCTCAAGTGCTCATACAATAAGCACTCATTCAAATGTTTTATCCCAAAACTGTCTCCAATAAATTTTTAGAATACCAATTATACCCTTTCAATATTGTTACTTTTAGCAACAATATTGTTACTTTTACAAAAACACTTTATGAAAGTACTTTTACAAAAACACTTATGAATACGAAAGTACTTTTATTAAAATACTTTTATAAAAACTTTTATGAAAGCACTTCCATCAAAGCATGTACTTTTATTCATTCACTTTGAATTGGATATTTTGAAAATTTGAAAGAAAATGAAGGACAAAAGAGTCACAAGTGCTTATCGAGAAAAAGACCACCAAACACCCAATATAAAATAAGTGCTTATTTTTTAAAATAAGCACTTGAAAAAGTTGTGTGCCAAATGCAAATAA